AAAATAGTATATTTTTAGAAGCTTACGCCTACGCAAACAAAGTATAGCGCATATGATAGAAAATTACGTATACGCATTCAAGAGGAAATCGGATCAAATTTCGCCAAGACAAACCCGTCAACTACTCTTCATTTCGGAATTTACAACCGATGTACGTCACGTTTTAGGCGCTGAAAACATTGCAACAAGTCTGGATATGCAAGAGATTGCAGAAGCTCAAGCCTCGCATGACAAATTGCAACAACTGAATTTACATCAACGTTTCTGAAGCTCAAAAAGTTTACGTTATCGGAAACAGCATCCAGCATTTATTATGACATTTCAGAAGAAGAAATCAGACCATATATTCCTGAATCATTACGAAGACGAGTTTTTGATTTGCATCAAATGCCTCATTCAAGCGACAGAGCAACTCACTGGCAAATTACACAAAAATTTGTGTGATCATGGCTAAAGATATTAAAGAGTGGGCCCGCATCTAGCATGCCAGCAATCTAAAATTCATCGGCATAATTATACTTTGCCTACCAAAATCTAGATATCCATTCGCCTACTAGATATTCGTTTTGAGCACATATCGATATCGTCGGTCCTCTACTTCCATCCAAAGATTTAAAGTATTTATTAACCGATTTACTCGTTAGCCGAAAGTCATTTCATTACAAGATTGTGCTGCAGATATGGTAGCGAAGATGTTTTTCACTCACTGAATAGCCAGATGTGGAACTCCACGCCTGATCACAACTGATCAGGGCTCGCAATTTGAAGAGCAACTTTTCGACGCATTAACCAATCTCGTCGGTTCTAAACGTTGTCGGACAACTGCATACCGTCCAGAATCTAATGGCATCATTCGAACGATGGCATCGCTCTTTAAGAACTGCATTAATGTGCCACGGTGAAACTCTGGATACACGGCCAGTAGTATTACTCGAACTAAGAACTTGTTTCAAAGAGGATGTAGGCACTTCTGTAGCGGAATTAATTTACGATACTACGCTCAAAGTACTGGGTGAGTTTTTCTCCTCTGAAGAGATGCCGAGCGATCCACAAATTTTTATCGAGGATTTCCGCGTAATTATGTAAAAGTTACGACCAACTTCTCTTCATTAGACCTAAGTTATTTTTCCATAAAGATTTGTATAACTACTCCCACGTCTTCCTCAAAGTAGAAAGTAACAGGTGTCCCCTGGACCAACCGGATAAGGTATTAGAGCGCATTTCGGACAAGGTCTTTGCTATAGAAGTCGACGACAGATGTATCAACGCTACTGTCGATAGAAGCTCGTTTATTTAATAATTCAAGACTTAGAAACTACTCCGTCCACTGCTTCCCCATCTTCAACTTCCAGTGCAATGTGAACCAAAGACATATCCTGGTCCAGCAACCAAACGAAAGACTGTTAGATTTAAGGATTAATTCGCGTAATATTATATTAAGCAATCAATAAGTATAAGTTATTGTTTGTTTTATTTAATTTTAAAACGTATAAAAAGAAGAGCATAAGAAACCACCGCACAAGTTATAGTTTGTGATATTTAATTATCATTACATTAATTAAAACATTAAACGTTTCGGCCACAATCTGGCCATCTTCAGTAAATTCATAATATTCTTAAAACGCAGAGTTACATATAGTTGACATTAAATTCAACCGTTGTATGTTGTAATTATATAAACGTGTTCTTTCATATGTGAAGATGCTTCGTACAATAATGTTACAACGCCAATTGTCATATCACGAAAAGTATAGAACGAGAATTTCCAGATTCTAATTTAACAAATTTATGTATCATTAATATCTTCGGAATATGTAAGAATAGAATCGTTACCTATTTTACAGCAAAAACAAATATAATGATGAATCTCAAGTACATCCTTTGCACAGATAGAAATTTGTCTTTGTGTTGTTATTTGTCATATCATATGTTTTACCACTATTTATACGTATGAGTCAAAAGTTTAGAAAGTTCTAGAATTATTTATTAAATGAGAGAGAGATCTTTCTTAAGAAGAGGCAGATAAACATCAGACAAATCTTCCGTATCACTTTGCTTATTGATATCACTTGTTTGGCTTTTTATATATATCATTTCAGAAATTCTTCTTTTCATTAATGATTGTTCTGTGTCTAAAATTCTTATGTTATTCCAATCCAATTCATGCATCTCATTCAACTGGTGACGTGAAACCACTGATATCTCGGAAGTGGATTTTCTTATGTCAGCCTTGTTCTTTTATACGAGTTTTTAATTTCCTTTTTGTTTGGCCAACATAAGAAGATTCACAATTTAAACAATTAATTTTGTAGACTACTCCACAATGGTTATCCTTAAGCAAAGGATCCTTTCCAGTCTTTATAAATGTATTCATTTTATTTATAGGTTTATAAGCTATATTAAAATCATGAATATGTGAAAGTTTTTTGAATTTTTCAGATACTTTACTCAAGTATGATATCGTGAAAAATTTTTTCTTTGAATTAGCATTAGAATCACGTTCATTATTATTTTCTTCACTATTTTGATCTAAATTAGTTCTACTTTCCAAGATTTTTATTTTATTTTTTATTGTTGAAAATATGAATTTAAGAGGATAACCGTTCCTTAAAAGAGTGAATTAAATCAGAGATGTTTTTTTCATGAAATTTAGGATGGGATAAAAGCAAAATTCTATCTAATTGCCCAATGATTACTCCCTTTTTATGTAATAACGGATAATTCGAAAAATAGTTTAAATATCTCCCAGAATTAGTAGGTTTTTTAATAAATATCAAAGATAATACTTTCTTCTTGTCTTATTAATTTTACGTCTAAAAAAATTTATGCCGTTTTCATCGCCAAAGTCAACAGTAAATCTAAGTCTTTCATGATATGAATTAAACAATTCCAGAACTCCTGCAATCTTTTCATTATGTACAGCTAACACAATCCACATAACAAAAAGACGAGAGAAAATAAAAAGACGAGATAATATTATTCGCAGTAATAATTTCTTGTTCTAAGTCTTGTAGAACTATGTTCGCCAATATAGGGGACAAAGGAGAGCCCATAGGCATGCCAAAAATCTGTCTAAATATTTTTTTATCAAATTAAAAAAATGTAGAGTTAATTATAATCATAATTGCTTTAATAAACTCATGTACAAGAATCGAAGTCTTATTTTCAATCAAGTTCCATCTATGTTCAATGCTTTTTAATACTAAATCGGTCGGAATGTTCGTGTACATGGAGACTACGTCGAATGATATAATACTGAAATTTTTATCGATTACCTTTCCATTGAGTTTATTTACCAAATCAAAACTGTTTTTTACATAACTAAAATTCTTTTTATTACTATTGTCTATGATTTCTTTTAAGAAGGTCGCCAGTGGATAAAAAGCACTATTAATGCAGTTGACTATCAATCTTAGAGGATGACCTTCCTTATGAATTTTTGGCAGTCCATAAGAACTCGGAAGTTGACCGTCAGATACATACAATTTTTTGTATAAATTTAGATCGATGTATCCATTGTTTTTCTAATTTTTTAGTAAGTTATCGATTTCAGATGTTATTTTATTAGTGGGATCTTTATTTATTAAATTATATGTGGTCTGATCGTTGAGAATCTCATACATTTTCTCTCTGTAACTTTCCCGATTCATAATTACTGTAGTATTGCCTTTATCCTCTCTAGATTACCTTTATCCGCTCTAGTGATTAAAATATCAGGATTCTCTGAGATGCATCGCTTAACTTCTTTTACACCTTCATATATAATTTTATTCTCGGCAGATTCAATGTCACAGTTCTTAATTGATTTAAGTATTTGGATTGTTTCGTTCCTAATCATTTTACACACTTCATCGTCAGCTCTGAAAAGATTATGTTCAACATGTTTGATGAACTCACGTATACTCCTTTCTTTGCTGACAACATTATTATAAGTAAGTTGAATTGCTGACCTAATTTCAATACAACTTTGGCTTTCTCTAAAATTTCAGTATTACTGAGATTTATTAGCCATTGTTCGTTAGTACTCGTTATTTCAAAATTTGTATTGAATCTGTCCGGATCAATATTAATCTTATAAGATGAGTATTTCATTAGTCATTGTATTTTTAGTTGAAATTTTCTTTAATTTCAAAGGTGCACTAAAAGTATCATAATCTCAGAGTCTACCAATTGCATTATATTATAATTAATATTCTCAATTTTCGATCTTTCTTTACACTTCTGTTTGTTTCGCAAGTTTTTGATTTTATTGATAATTCTATCCTGTTCCTTTCGCCACATTATGTTGAAATTAGTTTCTTGTCTTCGAAAGAAAGAATTAGATATGTCACTTGGTAGGTTTTTCTATTTGTCTACACATACTGAACATTTCACTTGCTCAAGATGTTTATAAGCTTGTAATTCTCTTGTAATTCTACCCGCAAATATTTAAAAATAAAATTGTGTTTAAGTCTGTCAATTCTATCTTTCGAAGAATGGAACAGCTTATTATTATCGTTTCGTGTAAATTTATATTAAATACTCGAAAATATATATTATGTATAGGAATTAATCGTTCCTTCAAACACGTTTTTAAAAATTGTATTTGTATTCTTGTATTAATATTTGTCCTATAAGTTCTTATACATTTCTTTAATAGCCAACATACTTGTAATCCAAAATTAAATTTAATAAAGTCGTATACACTTTTCGTGATATGATGATTGACGTTGTAACATTATTGTACGAAGCATTTTCATATGAAAGAATACGTTTATATAATTACAATATACGACGGTTGAATTTAATGTCAACTATATGTAACTCTGCGTTTTAAGAATATTGTGAATTTACTGAAGATGGCCAGATTGTGGCCGAAACGTTTAATGTTTTAATTAATGTAATGATAATTAAATATCACAAACTATAACTTGTGCGGTGGTTTCTTATGCTCTTCTTTTTATATATTTTAAATATATAACCATGTTTTGTTTTTATGATGTATTTTATTTAATTTTATTTTCTGTTATTTTCGTTCTAGTGATAATTTGGTCAGTATTTTTTTTCTTAACGTTTACTGGGAGGGGAGTATTGTGACGTTGCAAACATTAGTTGAGGCGCTCGAGTCATTTCTTTTTCCCGGTTTTCCTCTCTCTCTCTCTCTCTATCTCTCTCTCTCCTCCCCTTTCTCTCTCTCTCTCTCTCGTGTCATGGCGTTCTGCATGCGGGCCTTTTAAGCCTCAGCGGTAGATTTTAATTAGTGCTCGGTAAGATTGATAATCATTTTATGTTCATTGCGAGATCGACATCAGTTACTGCTCATGTCGTTAGATAATTGCTCGCGTCGTCAGATAAACGGTTATGTTGTAGATTTTTGAGTTTCTCACATTCTAACCTAGTAATGCGATATCGATATCCCAGCCATCATACGCACGCAATTACATTTCTACTCTTTTAATCTGTACATTCTAAATATTCATTTAAGTTTATATTAAACCGCTTCATGGACATATAAGTCAGAATCAATAAGTAACATTTCTTTGCAAACTTAGTGATTTTTCACCAATTTTCCTTCGCCATTAATTAGCCATCGCCAGCGCCCAGACACGCTCGGCGCCACATTGGGCACAGCATTCACAACGTAACTACAAGCATTTTGCGGTTACAGGTTTGGGCCGTCACGTCCTCTTTCAGGTTTCTCTCTGCAGAGATAAAATGAGGATGCAAACCCATGCAGCGGAATAGCGGAACACGGAACGAGAGCAGAACCAATCACGAGCGTTCCGCAGTTTCGTTACGCGGTTTCGAATCTCTTCATTTCCAATGAGCGTAAGCGGAATCAACAGCAAGTCCATAAATGACGTTTAAAATTACGTTAATTGTATTTGTCATTCATTTTTTATTATCATGTGTCTAAGTCTAGAATTAAATATATTTTTCATTGAAAATAATGATTAAAGATGTTAAAATTTATAAAATTAGTCTTAATGTGATTGTAACCTTTATGAAATAACGATTTATGATTGATTGCGCAAAGTCTGTGATGCGCTCATTACGCTATATAGGTATTGAGGGTTCACATTTCAACGTAACAAAACTGGCGGAATAATATCGTGGTGAGTACAGAGATAAATTATTAGGTAATAAGGTCCAGAAGGCGCTCCTCTCCTTCATTTTCAATGAAATTATGCTCATTTAACGCGATATTATGTGACTGCAGCGTATGTTCGCATCGCAGTGTTTCGTGGCTATAACAGATTTTCTAACCTAAATAGTCGTCAACTTTGACGATTATCTCACTTCGCGGGACACATTTAACTGCTAGATTCTTTCAATTTTTGCAAAAACGCGTCAAATGAGCATGACTTCATTGAAATTAAAGTGAGAAGCGTTTTCTGAATAATTATCTAATAATTTATCTCTGTACTCATCACGTTGTTATTTCGCCAGTTTTGTTACGTTGAAACGTGAACCTCCAATACCTATATAGTCTAATGAGCGCATCGCAGGCTTTGCGCAACCAATCATAAATCGTTATTTCATAAAGATTACAATCACATTAAAACTAATTTAATAAATTTTAACATCTTTAATCATTATTTTCAATAAAAAATACATTTAATTCTGTACTTAGATACATGATAATAAAAAATGAATGACAAATACAATATTTAAATGTTGTTTATGGACTTGCTGTTGATTCCGCTTACGCTCATTGCGCTCCATGGAGATGAAGGGATTCGAAACCGCGTAACGAAAACTGCGGAACTGCTCATGATTGATTCTGCTCTCGTTCCATGTTCCGCTATTCCGCTGTATGGGTTTGCACTCTGAGGGTAATTCTTATCGAGAAGGGCTTGTTCACGTCCGATTTCGATGAAATTATGCTTATTCGTTGCATTTTTGCATAAAATGAAAGACTGTAGAAAAAAGTTCGGAACTGCTTTGCGAAACGAGATATTGAGCGTAAAGTTGTTTTCCAACGTACACAGGTGACATAGGGTGCGTTCGGAAAAACGCTATTTAGCGCTACAAACTATTCGCGGAGCTATAAATAGCGCTAATAAATACGATCATGACGTCACTAATGGTAGCGTGTTACGTCACAACTGCACGCTATCAATGTTATTCCTTCCATGATAGTGTATTGGTAGCATTAACGTTTATAGACCTGTGAGCGACTAGCGTTGCTAGCGTTTCTCATTCGTCAAGGTTAAATTAATGTTTGAGGGAATTTTGTTTTTGAGTGGCACCAAATTTTTCTCTCTTTAGAATTTCGTAGAGTAAACGTATATATGTAACGTGTGAATTTCAAATTTTATCATAGCAAATGTAATCTCAATTTCAATTTCTGCAATTGATGGCTTGTCACTAGGCTGGAGTGAACGTAATTCTTGCTTTTGCATCATCTTTAACTTTTCAAAGTTTCTGCAGAGTTCAACTTGTGTATTTGATTTCCACTGCAGATGCTTAAAATCCTTATTACATGTAGATACGCTTCTTCTTAAATTGATGACGGATGCTTAAGGATTCTTCCTTTTATTTGATTAATTTACTTAGTGTAATTATTAATTTTTTTATTTACGTTGTTCACTCCGGCAAGCCATCATAGAAATTGCAATTGAGATTGCGTTCTGTTATTCACTATGAAAAATTAAAAATTTACGTTACATATACTTTACAAAACTCTAAAAATTTAAATTGTAAAGAAAAGTTTGGTCAATGATTAAAAACAAAATCTCCTACATTAACTTAACTTCGACGAATAAATCTCTCTAATTAAATACTACCAACGCTACGCTAGGATCGTTCATGGAATTTGCTAACGCTATCGCGCTATTGGCTCCACGAACAATGTTGGTAGCGTTTGCGTCCATAGTGAATGGTGTCTCTCCGAATGCACCCATAATGTAACGCTGTGTTTTACAAAAAGCCGAATTGTAGACTATCAACTAGAGTTCTAATTGGTTGCTGCTTTTCCGCTTTTCCGTCAAGGTGTGAACGCGCCTTTATGATTCTCTGCTGAGACGGAATTATTCCTCTTGAAAAGCATAACGGATCCAATCAGCGCGAAAAAAAAACAGTTCCAGAATAAACGTTCTGCTAAACGCAACCAATGACGCATTCTCTATTCCACAGTCCTATTCCGCATCGTGTGATTTTACCCTAAGATCCAGCTTCATTGGACGCATACGGAGACGACGTAGCTCTATGAGGGCGCGATCAGTATTGGTATTTTCCTACTGTGTGATTTCAAAATGTCAGACATTGATAAATGGATAGATATCGCGAAAGAATGCAAATACTTGCCAGAGAATGATCTCAAGGTAAATTATACTTATACGATGTGTGCCGGTCGTTTTCTGCGCGATAACGGCCGCGCGAACACATAACCGCTGATTAAATTATTCACCTACGCAGCTTACGCGTTTTGCCCCTCCTGAGTTACTTATTGTGTTAACTTTTATCGTTGTCGACAGAAACTCTGTGACGTGGTATGTGATTTATTACTGGAGGAGTCAAACATCCAGCCTGTATCTACTCCGGTGACAGTATGCGGCGATATACATGGTCAGGTAAGTTCCGGATATATACCTTAACCTCAAAATCGGAGCATCATCGTTTGCATTATCGCTACGGAATCGACAAAATTTTAAGATTTTAATCTTCCGAATTAGCGTCACAACAGATACCATATTCATCCATTTATTGTTAAAAGGAACATAATTGTGTCGCTGCGCTTGCTTGTGCCGAAACACTACTGTGTCTTCAGATATATTTGTCTTATGATCACTCTTGATCTTTATATTTTATAACTATACTAATAATTATTTGTACAGTTATGATGTAAATATACTTCAGATTATTTATCTTGTGCTATTGCAGTTTTATGATTTAGAGGAACTGTTTCGCAATGGTGGCCCCGTACCAGATACAAATTATATATTCCTGGGAGATTTTGTCGATCGGGGCTACTACAGCTTAGAAACGTTTACTCGTCTGCTTACACTTAAAGCTAAATGGTCTGACAGAATAACGTTACTACGTGGTAATCATGAATCTAGACAAATCACGCATGTTTATGGATTTTATGGTAAGCATACAATGTTATTTTCTTTTTTGGTGACTTGTTTGTATTTATACATAACAAAACTTTGATTGCATACATTATTTTCTTTGTTGTCTATTCTAGATGAATGTCAAAACAAGTACGGCAATGCTAATGCTTGGAAGTACTGTTGTAGGGTATTTGACTTGCTCACAGTTGCTGCCGTGAGTATTTATATAAAAGATCTTTTAAAAATTACAATTTTTTATATTTTATTATACTTGAATAAAATTCTGTTTTAGTTAATTGATGAACAGGTTCTTTGTGTACATGGTGGATTGTCTCCGGCTATTAGAACATTAGATCAAATTAGAACGATCGAAAGGAATCAAGAGATTCCACACAAAGGTATGTATTAAATGTGTAACATGTAATATTTCAGTGTAAAATAAAAATTATGTTACTTGGATATATTGTATTATTGCCAGATAATAACATATAATGTATAATATATTATAATAATTAAACTTCTTTGTTTAATTACAGGTGCTTTCTGTGATTTGGTTTGGTCTGATCCAGAGGATGTAGAAACATGGACAGTAAGTCCACGTGGCGCAGGTTGGTTATTTGGCAGTAAAGTGACTTATATGTTCATGGAAGTGAATGATCTTAAACTCATCTGTAGAGCACATCAACTAGTTCAGGAAGGTATATCTTTGCTTAATACAAATATTTAAATTAATATTTTACAATTTGAAGTAATTCTTTGAAAATATATACTGATAATGTACATTCTTGTAGGTTATAGGTACATGTTTAATGACAAACTTGTCACAGTGTGGTCAGCCCCAAATTATTGTTATCGATGTGGTAACATAGCTAGTATCATGCAATTCACAACAGTAGATCAAAGAACACCCGTGCTGTTCCAGGCAGTGCCTGATTCCGAGAGAGTAATTCCACCTCTAACGCCCACTCCGTACTTTTTGTGATCTATCTTAGCGGCTCATTTGTACGGATACAGAAGAGAAATGTCTGTGTCTAGACTTTACGGAATTACATGATTTGATTGACCAGATCCAGGCTGGTACCATGACGGAACCATACATTAGTGAAAATATATCACAAACCGATTATACTCTAGAAAATTTTAATTCCTTTGAAAGAAATTGTTTCATGCATTCTACGATCGAAGTATGATATTTAGAGGACTGAATTATGGTGTGATTACTCTTATTCAGGGAATGTTCTTTAGATTTTTTAAGAACTTTATCAGGTTTTACATATTGTAAAGCTAACTTTTATATATTAATACATAGTATCTGCCATTGCATCAGCCTGTTTTTTGTGGCTCGAGAAAAAAAGAAAATGATATTTTGCATTAGAGCAAATGTGAATATTCTGTGGTCTAGACGCTTTTGCTGTCTACTATGTACATTCTGTAGAGCATTCATATCTCAGAGCAGCATTCTGGACTTAAATGTTCAAAAAACTAAAACCTTTTAAATAATTTATGCGCGAATAATGCGAATAGTCCAGTGCTGTATATAAATAAAAAGGAAAAAAAAAAAAGAAATACACGTTCACACATTCCGATAAGAAATACACTCTCTGAGTACAATGAATGCTTCTCTGACATTACAATCGTGCGTAGAATTCAGGTTTATTAAAGCGTGAGCATATATATAGTACTGTTAAGGTCTTCCTAAACATATAAGTGATCTGTTGCTGATTTAGGTACTGTGTGTGTGCTGTTCTTTTTTTTTTAAATGCGCAATCAGTGTTCTTAGTAAAAATCGTAAATTCGGCCCTTTTTCGCCGAAGTACAAATAGCGTGTAGCAGTAGCCAAAGTTTTCCTGTTTAGATAAGGAAATCCGATAGCGAAATCGTTATAGCATCTATATATATAGAGAGAATTTTCTTATTATTTTTAGCACAAGATTTTTAGCACATTTTTTACGCTTAATTTTAAGAAATTTTAAGCTCAAATATTATCGCTAAACTATCTTGACACATATTGATATTTTTTTCAAAAAAAAAAAGATCCACCATTCGTTTGTCACTTCACTTCTCTATATACATATATGTACAAAGCAATATTTTCAAAAAACTATTGCATTTTCTGAATCTTTGTACAATTTCCAATATCGTATGCCAAATCGCTGTCGTATTAAATAATCGTAATTAGCTAATTGTTATAAGTTCATTAATGTAGGGAGCAACTTAAAAAGAGAAAAGAACCGAGACCCTTAGCAATGTGCCTCTAAATTAATAAGCGTTTGTGTAATATAATGATACGATATTGATATGACATAATTGTAATAATAAATGGAAATGCACCGGCCATTGCGTATCGTAAGCCTGAATTCTGACCATCGATTTTTGCTAGCTCACGATAATTCCTAACCGATCACAGACCTAACAAATATATTGGCATTGGCATTGTGACATAGGTTGTCAAGTTGAGACTACTCTATTTTGAATTTTGTGATATAGACCGAAGGTGCAATGTCATGTCGATGTTTATAACGACTCTCCTTGTCGCATCATTCGAAGAAGTTTTGTGAGAACCCGTTATAATCCAAGAAATACAATAAACTTTTGAACAGTGCCTTCAGGACTATAACACGACGGTCTACTAGAAATATAATTGCTTTCTTATTGACAGATAATCATAGACGAACTAACATAAGGACGACGAATCATACACCAGAGCTTAAGACCTGAGAATGCGTATGAGGAAATTTTTATTACTCTTTTTTTAATCCATAAATCTTCCGCTACTATTTGAAAAACAAAATTTTAATTTTTCAAACTTTTCTACGATGTTTACGTTTCACAATTTTACTACTTTTTAGGTCTACTCTTACATTTTTACATCACGTGCGCGAGATATTCCCTATTTGTACTACAATTATTATAACGTAACAATTGTACGACACTTTACACGAGTAACGTATTACATTAGGTAAATGAGCGCATCTAGAACGAATCGGGGACACGGAGCTTGCGTTACAAACTCGACTCACTACATTTGCAGCCTCCGAGTCGTGAAATAGGTGTAACGACGGGAACGCCCTACATATGATAGCATAACATAGAAGTTCTTTAAAATAAAGTATTAGCCTCTGTATTTACTATCGGGGTGTTCGCGGCGTTTCGTCCACCAGAATGCCTCTGTCTGTGATCGCTTTAATCTTATCGAAGTGTCCAAGCGCTTGCGACGACTCGATAAATAATCGGTAAGCTCGCGAGAGAAAGAATAAATAAAGACAACTTGCAAAATAAAATAAAATAATGAAGACTAATTTAGCTTAATATGCTCCGTGCAGGAGCTTGAACACTGCGCATAATCCTTAAAGATCTCACAGGTAGACATCATTTTAAAACGATCATCATGTACCTTGAAAGTATAGACTTTGTTATGTTAATGTAATGAAGAACGTCTGTAATAAAAATACGCAAAAAATCGTATCCGTTAGCATTTATTATATTCCCGATATATTGTGATAGCGAGACCAAGTATAATAAGCATGAGATAAGGAAGGAATTGTACAGAAGAAAAGGTATATTATACAATTAAATAGTGCACAAGTTTTTTTATTAATCTTTAATCAGTTTATTTACTCGTAATAATATTATTTTCATCATATATATATAATAATTCTATTTACTCCTTACTATATATATATATATATATATATATATATTTATATATAATAATATAGTGTATTTATGTTCAATATGTATAATATATTATCTACATTTATAATCCCTATGAAAGGCATTTCCAAACAGACTTCAAATTTACTTCTTTTTTTTCTTTAAATATCTTATTTATTCATAAAAATACAGGGGCGTTCACGCGCCACGCGTGAAATTCGGCCTGCTTTGTCTGAAACCAAAAACTCGATCAAATAGAATTATGGCTAATGATGTATTTGTTTATTCTACCGAAGTTATAAATTCTTTTTTTCAGTTACATATGCGCATCTAACTGTTTGTAATAATTTTTAACCTTATGAATTGCGATTATATATCACGATTATAATAATTTTTATTATATTCTAAATCATATTACGTTATCTTTGAAATCATAATCTCGCAATGAAACTCGAATATCAACAAATGCACTAACTTTCGTTGTATATGTGCGAAATTTTTTTCATGCAACAAAGAAGCCGAAGATGTTAAAAAAATTAAAGTTAAACGTTATTACAATTAACTGATCTAATTCATCGAGTAACATGATTTTATCAATGTATCGAAATCAGCGACCTTCATCAGTCTTTTAATTACTTGTATTATATATTTACGATTAAATCTATATATAATACATTGCGAGGTGCTTGTTTAAAAAGACTTGTATGACGTTTTGTCTACGGAAAACAGAGGCGGAATTACATTTACACAGATACCTTTAATCGGATTTAATAACATCCGTAGTTATGAAACTGACCAATCATAGCTATTCCTCTGATGAATGGAAAGACTGTGATTGGTCAGTTTTTAACTATGGATGTTATTAAATCCGATTAAAGTTGCGGTCCACTTAATGCTACAAATGCTTCGAAACTTTTGATTAACCAATCGGAAAAAAGAATTTTACTGATTGACTAATCAAAAAATGTTTTTAAATATTTGTAGCATCAAGTGACCTGAGTGTCCGCGTAAACATAGTTACTAATGACTCTTGTATACAGAATGCAGCAATGCTTGCCACGCGATGGAAATTGGCGCGAGAGCCAATCAATTTATCGCTTTTCCATAAAAGTGAAAGAATGATTGACTAGGGCGCTAATGATTTTTGCACACTGGACGTTGAAACGCTTATCGCGTGGCAAAATGCGACGCAATAATCGATGAATATGTTAGAAGCTTATTGGCTACCCCTGATGAAAACTTTTCTTATAATTTTTATACGAATTGGAATATTTTTCAGAAATACTCGGAAAGTTTACATCTTCTCTCAGAATTGTTTATATAAGTGAATTGTGAAATATTCTAAAATTTCTCATCCTATAATTAAAAAAAAATATTTAAAAATTTTTTAGATTTTAAAACATTTCATCAGAAATTATACTTACAAAAAATTTTAGAAATCTTACGATATTTCATAATATATATGAAAAATTCTGAAACAAGATGTAGATTTTCTGAAAAATTCTGAGAAAAATTTTCACCAGGAATCGCATCACATTTTGCCGCATGGCAAGCGTTTCCGCGTCTAATGTGCAGAAGCCATAACTTTGCTGCGCAAACATTACCATTCTGTCTGTGGGAGTCATAATAGTCTTTCTACAATAATTAAGTCATTTCCTGCTTCAAGCTTTAAGTCTTAAGCTATAAGAAATTGACTAATCATAATCGATTATTCTCTTCGTATTCGACTGTGATTAGTTAACTATCCTATGATTTAAGATTTAAAACTTAATAAATAGCTTATTGTAGAAAGCCTATTAGATATTAGAGAGTTTTTACAATACGTTATCTACATACGTTTTGTCAGGTTATCTTTTTCTTAATAACTAATTAAGAAAAGAATAACATGACTTTAGCATTCACCGTATCTGGATTCATGTTATTGTAAAAATTCCCTAATATCTTGTAGGATGGTATTCATAGTCCATTCTTATTTTAAGACTGTTCTAAGTAATGTCTTAAAATGCTAATACGGCTCTTTGATTGGTTCACCTTAAGACTGTACTTAAGACTGTACTTAAGACGGTCTTAAATATAAAATCCAACTATGAATACTGGTTGTAGAAAGCTGATAAGGGCCATTATACACAAAATAGGGAGTTTTTGCAATAACATGGATCCAGATACGGTGAACACTAAAATCACGTTATCCTTTTTTTAATTAGTCGTTAAGAAAAAGATAATATGACTTTAGCATTCACCGTATCTGTTGAAAATGGTATTGCAAAAACTCTCTATTAACATAAGCTGCATAACTATAATTAGGATATATCTACACAAACTTGCATAGTCACATAAACATATGCATACAGAAAATTATCCAATCGCATTTCTCTTATAAAGTCGCATGTAAGCTTAATTTTTTTTACGTTATGCAGAGACTATGCAAATTTGTGTGGATATACCTTTAAGGCCGCTAAACTGCTACCAATGAATTTATGTAAATCGATGTGGCGTTTTTATTGATTTAGCAACTTTATGTTATAGTTGTGCAGTTTATGAACTACGTTTAGCAAAAATTAATCAGTTGACGCTTAGTGATTCTTTAATATGATTAGTGATTCTCCCTACACTTAGATTCAGTGAAGAATTAAAAACAAGAATTAATCATATTAAAGAACCATTAAGCGCTAACTGATTAATTTTCTCTGCTAAAAATATGTCATTTTGTGTGTGATAGCCCTCACACTCTTCATCACAATTTTTATAAACATAATGCATAACGTAATTGACTTTTTTATCGACATTCTTTTCACTGCATTGCAGAAAAAAAAATTAGCAGCGAGACACACAATATATGTATATTGAAGAAAATTACTATATAATAGACATCGATATCGTAAAGGGCGGTACACAGTTTCCGACAGAGCAGCGATTCACGCAATGGCGCTGAAATCTCAATTACAAAAGGAATATAATCGAAGATAAACGAGATAATAAAAATGTACTTCTTCCTAAACGTAGGTAGAAATATGGTAACTTTTGACTCACTCATTGATAAAGTATCTCTTTCTTTCTTTCTTTTTTCCATTCACACACGCACGCACGCACGCACGTACTCTCTCTCTCTCTCTCTCTCTCGCCAATCCGGTGCTTATCGTATTTTCCTTATCTCCTTTGTTACCATCGTTTCTGGGTTAAACGTTTGCATTTCTTCTTGTGCTACTCTTTCGATGTAATCGAAGCAAGGGACGCGCGCCGATTTCTTTACTCCGATCAAAAGGAAGTAAAAGAAGATATGTGTTCAATATATAAATTTTCCATACAAAAACAGGATAAGAAATTAAAAAAAAAAGGAATTTACGTAAATGAATATTTAATTCATAAATATAATTAAATATTAAATGTTATATAAAATTAAATTTATGCTAAGAATTTAAATGTCGTGTCGGCATTAATTAAATGCTACAATACAGTACAATACACTAAGGGCGGAATCCATAGACGTTGCTCAAAATTCGAGATGGTCTTAAGCTAGTGTTTGAGATATCATGAACCAATCAGACAGTCGTATTAGCATCTTAAGACATTGCTTGATTAAAAACAGACTATGGATTCCGGCCTAGATTATGTAGCACCAAGACTGAAGTGATCTACATGGAACAATGACAGATCTGAGAATGAATCCGCGACGTTGCATATCATTTTCAGCTGTTAAGTTAAATAAATTAAGAATCCGTATTTAGAATGTTTACAATGATAGTTAGCGTGCTAAGAGCTACCGACAGAAACTAGACAAAATTTCTGTAGCAATAATCTTAAGTAAAGCCGAATATAATAAATTTAAGCCGATGAGCCAATCGGGATATTGCTTTAGATCTACGTAATCTGACTGCAGAAATAGAAAAAAAAAGACAATAAACTTATCCGTAAGACAAATTTCAATCAGTTTTACTTTTAGAGAGATGCTTTAGTTACAAATATTGAAAACTTTAATTTAATTCAAAATTAAATATTTTCCGAAGATTTATTAAGTATTGTTTAAAGATTTTTCAAGGAGTTTTCCAACAAGCGACACTGTGTAAGAAACACAGTGATCATTTCATCACTGTGTTTCATCTCATTGTTTAACACCCAGATAACCAAGTGTGATATAATAGCATACTGTGCAAACTATATGTTGTTATATATTTGCTGTACATTAAAATAGGATACATTATGAATACAACATGATTGCTTATACACGTAATCATCAGTTGTTGAAATTTCTAGAGCAAGTGTAAACAATGGTGGTACATTATGTTGTTGGCAATATGACAGCAACATGTTAACAACGAATAATTAATTATTTCATTTTAAGCATTATGATGAAAACATGACAGCAACAGAACATATACAGTATATCCGGTAAGTTTTGACAAAGCTCTCGTGATAAATAGAACGGACTAAACTGAGTCGAAAAGTTCTCTACCATTTTGCAATTTTTGCAACGGTTAACAAGATATTAATTACTCAAAATTGCTGAATATGGCTTTCAATAATTTTTTTCTCAAATACTATCAATTTTACAGAAAGACTGCAAGAGACAAGAATTTTTTATTTTCTTCTCATAGAATTCTAAGAATTTTTTCAGAATTTTTTATCAACTTCTTAGTACTGCATTTTCTTATTGGTAACTATTTTTACCAATATGAGAAAATACAGTATTAAAAAATTCTAAAAAATTCTGAAAAAATTCTCAAAATTTTATGAGAAGAAAATAAACAATTTTTGTTTCTCGCTGTTTTTCTGTAAAGTTGATAATATTTGAGCAAAAAGTTATTGAATACCAA